TAAAGCAAAGTAGTCAATACATGGACAAAATATATGAAAGACGAGACGATTTGTGAACGTATTGGTGCTTGCTGTGTTACCGTAGCTGAAAGGCCGCACGTTTGTCGATGGTGTGGGTTGAGAACATTTTTTTCTCTACGGGATGTTTACAAAGGTTTTTCGTTGGCGCAGCTTGGTACTTCGTGTATAGATCTTGGTTGGCGTTCATTATTTGTGGCTCACCGTTTGTGGCAACGTATTGATTCACCTATGAGTGTCGACGAAGTGAACGGAGAATAAATATGATAATAATAACTTATTCTCAAATAACAGTCTGTTACATCAGGTATGTCAGTTTACAGGCAAGGTCAATTTGTTACAGAATATATGGTCTTCACAGTAGTGGGTTACTCTGTTTGATATTTTATGAGGTACATTGATCATAAAAGTATGAGTGATAATACTTCCCACATATGAATGAAATAATACCAGTAAGATCCGCATTGCCAATAAGACAGTTGGCGCGCTTTATAGAGGTTGCGTTGCGACGTGCAACTGAAAGCCGAAACTAAATGCACTTAAATTAGAGAGCTTTTATAAACCGCAACCCTATATCCCTGTCGAATCAGCTGCATACGCGTTATCGGTGGCATGTTTTGAAAGGGCTGAAAAAGATGGTAAGAAAAAAAAGTACGAGAAGCAAAGCAGACAATGTTCACTTGAAATTGAGTCATTTGTGGTGAAACAGTGAAGATGTAACTACTTATTCAAATTTCTATTATTAAGATACTTTTTAAGCAAGAGCATTCTGGTAGGTTAAAGAAAATAATGAACCGTGAACAAAAAGTGTACGTTTGATATCTCATTTCATTATTCATCCTAACCTCGGCGAGGGTAATAAAGGTCTAAATAAATGTTAAATTGAATGAATTTATTTGGAGCACTTATTTACTCAGGGAAACTGTACGATGGAAAGCGATGGAGGGAGATGTGTAGTGGCATTGGGCTCTAACACGAGACAATATGGGAAATAAGTATTCAGCATTTAACGCGGAGAAAAACTCAACGATGTGGAAGGTGGGATCAAGGAATTGAACTTATTGGAGTTGATCGGATGGTATGGCTCTTCCATTCAGGCATGGTCTCCACTGAATGTTACCTTAAACCTCTTATTCATATTAAAAATATTGTTTTATCTCTAGCCTGAGCTTGTTCTCCATCATCTTGATAATTGTTACGATGCAGTGGGTTGGTGTAGATGATGATGTGACTTCCACGTAAGATCTTATAGATTAGGCAGTTATATCACGACAAATCTACAATTTTAGGATTAGGTCTATTATTAGAGCAGTGCTAATATCATAGTAGACCATAATTCTTTAGATGTACTAAATAAAATATCACCGATTACGAGCGTTAATATAACTCAAGATATGCAGAGTATGTTATGACAAGGATACAGAAACTCGATGAAATTATAAATACATAGACATACACACAAGCACACACGTAATGTGTATATGTGTAGTTACAAGGTTATAAATATAATGGGCATATATAGTAAGAATCACAATGTTCTATTGAGAGAATAGTTATTATGAAGTTAAAAATAGTTAAGTAGTTGCATTCATTTTGAGTTCTTAAAGTGCATCCGAAAGCAAGAATAAACTACGTGTGTAATGGAAGTATTTGCGTAGTTTATACTTTGGTGAATATACATGCATTTAGTTTGGAAATTGCTTGTCCAAGCGGACATAAGTTTCTAAAAACCGGTTCTCAAACCACATGGTATTCAGGTCGCGATTTGCCAATAGTTCATTGTGGGAATGAAATAAGTGCACTGATGTTCAACCTGTTATATTTATCCACTTTTGCAGATCCAGTGAGGATTTGGAAACATTCGGCTACGTTTATTGGGCTTATATACAACTAAGATAATGTTACCGGCCAGCGGTGCACATATGTAATCACCCGTCTTCATGTCTAGCCAGATTTGGACGTTATCAGCGTAGTGTAGCATTGGTGTTTTAACAGTAAGCTGGAGTTCATCCACACAATAAGATAAGTTAAATATCTAGAAAGAGGCTTTAATGAACTACTAGTTACGTAGAACATCTGCATTTATTAATGTGGATAGACGACTTCCTAGTTGGGCACCAAAAAAACAGTAGGGGATAACTCAAAGCTGTCTAGCTCGGGAACTGTGCTTAATGGAGTGCCTCAGGGTACAGTTTTGAGGTATTTTTATTCCTCCTGTACGTAAATGTCTCCAATCATTATCGGTTTTCATATATAATAAAAATGTCAAGATGTACAGAGTGATAAGAAGCAAAGGTGATAATTAAGAGTGTCAAAATGAACTGGTGAAATTGACTGAATGATCCAAAATTTGGCAGTTGCTGATAACTGCTTCCAAGTGCTTTATTGCACATATGGTCACCAAGGTACAGATACATACACGATGAATATCGGTGATCTACTCGTTGTCCATACCCACAACGACTTGCGAGTAATCGATGGTCAAAACACAAAAACTATTGCACACTCGTGCGATAGCCGTCAAAAGTTTTAGAACCCTATGGTCAATAAGTAGCTTCTTTAACCATGTCGATAATGAAAAAACGTTTTGGCTTTGTACACAGTATTCGTTCATCATAAACTCGAGTGCCGCATGTAAGCGGCTAGCTCCTGCCTATAAAGAGACAGCGAGCTGTCTGAATACACTCAAAAAACACCAACTAAAATGGTTCCCGGAATAGTGGAGCTCCCGTATGATGCACGACTGGCAAAACTAAAACTATTTCAATCATATAGAAGAACCATAGAGGACTTCATCACAGATGTTAGATTACCTAGAAAGGAATTGACATCTGACATTCTCTCAATGTTCTTGTCTTCTAATAAAGAGAATTTACAAGGACACTCTACAAATGTTCACAATTTTGGAACAAATTATTTGTCAAGTGACTACCGACTTTCTTATAACATCATCAACGAATGGAATTCGAATAGTTCAAAAGATTCAAGTAGTTTTGGGCGGAATAGGAGAAGCTTTCGCTTAAATGGCTTCCGTGTCTAGTAGCAGTGGATCATCGATACTACAAGGTATGAACCTTGGTTTATTATCGATAAAAAAGGAAGGGGAAAAAAGGTTGATAATTCATAGTAAGATATTATCCTTAGTCCTTAAGAGCATGTCAAGTTTCCTCTTAAATGACTCTTAAAGAAGTCGCTTGGATTAGCTCAGGCGTTAGCGAATTCCACCATTTAACTACTCTCAAGGAGTAGAAGGTATATCTACAATCTGTTCTTCGGTGTTATGTCTCCAGTTTCTGGGTGTTAACTCACAGTTTTGTGCTGGGACTAAGCTTAACTATGTTTTTAAGCGGATATCCAGAACTGTTTAGGATGATGCAGCTCATTAGGTCATCGCCAGTGCACGGTTTACTAGGGAGACACCTTCATCGCCGGATGTTTTAGCTCATATTTGCTGATAAAATCGAGTATTATTACGGTATGACCACTTTTACGCAAGTGAGTCAAGATTTAGTGGCTTTCAGTTAGGCATTCTTTGTTTTTAAACACAGTTTAAGCGCGGCTGAGCTGTCAAAGGCTCTATTTTGGGGAGTTCAAGCTCCCTGTATAACTCTTCTAAGAGCATCCTGTCATTTTTGTCCTGAAGGTTGAGGGTAATATCAGAACTGTCTTTAAGGCAAATCGTCGTGAACCGTGATTGTTTTCCCAGGTTTTCGTGCACGTTCTGGTTGATGACCTTATTGTTTGGTGACTGACTTGCGTTTCAGATTCCTATGCTCTTTTCTGACCGGTCGGAGTCTTGGTGAGTAGATAGTATAGCTAACTCGCCTGTCGATTTCACTACAGAACCTGGGATGTTCGGCTTCTTATTCAGTGACACCTGGTCCTTCTCAACTTTGTTGACGGGGTCAAATCGACTGCATAGTTTCTGGGGACCACTGGTGAATTCAGAAAACCTGTGCTGGGAGACCCATGTTTGCTGTGGGAGTCTGGTACTGTCGTTACTAGTGTACTTGCATGCTCCGCTTATACAAGTTTTGTTGAGGACCCTCTCCTTATCTTTACTGCGCTTCTTTTTTCATGTTAACTGACTTTTCCCGCAGACCTATTACGAGAATGATGAAGTTGCTCGACATAACTTCATCATTCATGTTGCACGTGCCACATACCCACCTGCGACCCGACTTGCCAAGTCTTTCGTAAGCAGTTACTGTAAGATCTGTTCATGCATCGCAGAAACGACCTTGGAATGGGTCACGCTGCATGTCAGAAGTAACAGCAAAATGGAAATCGGGTCACCTAAATGAATTCTTCATGACTATGGTGATTTATATTGTTTAATAGGTCCTGAAAAACATCTACCACCCTTAAAACAAAAAATGCATACCAAAAACTGATGAAATGGATAAAAAAGGATGGTAAAAAAGGTTAGGATATACTTAAGATAGACTTGACGTAGATAACTGAAAAAAGTTGAATGATAAGCCGCGGTTAAACCACAGTCAACTAATAACTTGTGTTTGTCTGAAAAAGAAAAGCAACTATCAAAAGTTAAGCTCCGGATAGATTCTTTGGATTAAAAGCGGTACTTTCGTTGCGTAAGTATATAGCAAAAATTTAAGAGATGCAAATCACGTTGGTACTAAACTTCCGTTTTTAAAGCGCGTTCACAATGCATGACTAAAGCTCAGTCTATCGAAACATTCAAAAAAGGTCGGCCTTTGAAATCACTATTGCCAGGACTAACGAAAATGTTTGGCCTCCTGTCCTTTCCAAGCCGAAGCTGGAACTGTATACTAAATCGCTGACCTACAGAAAGTCACTGATTGATATCAGTGGAAGTCTAGAAATGACAAGATATATATCTCACCATATAACAGAATCATGAGCGACGACTGCGGAGCGAATGTAAAGAAAAATTTCTGCCTTTGCTAATGAAAAAGATTGGATGTTGAAATCGGAAAACCGAAACTTTTATAACTAGATTCCGCGTAAAGTGCGCCGTGTTTGAAGTTATCGCCTAATGATGTCTATGGTTATCTTAACACTCCTGGTTTTGTTAAGTGGTTTCTCATCATCTTCGAGTAGTAGAAATAGACCTGGAGATTTGGATGAAATTCTGTATTTACCAGGCGCTTGGCCACAACCGAATTTCAAGCAGTTCTCTGGATATCTTCATGGGTCATCTGATAAGATCAACATTCATTACTGGCTCGTCGAAGCTGCTTCGTCACCGGCGTCAGCTCCTCTAATTGTATGGTTAAACGGTGGACCAGGATGCTCCTCCTTAGAAGGTTTACTTACTGAAAATGGTCCTTACTTCGTAAGTGTTTTGTGTTTAAGTTCTATAGGTCAGTGTGTTTAACGCGACAAATATAAAAACCTGCCTAACAGTTCGATAGCTTCCTATATTTATGGACTTCTCATAGCTTATTGATTAGGGAGAGGAAAACGTATCTATCCGTTCACTACTGTAACTTATTACTGTAAATGAATATTTTTATAGAAACTACATAGCTGACAATATCAAACCATTGTTGGTGAAATGGTTGTAGACTAATTGCTATGATATTGGTATGATCACTGAGCTAAGCCTAGGTGTATCCTAATCCTCTCAACATTATTTAACCCTAATTATTAATGTGTAAACTAAATAAACAAACATCACGAATTTTTTACACAAATTGTCTGGAAATACAACGGTAATGTGAACTTAAGACAATTTGTTTGAAAATTTAAACTGATTGTTAGTTATAGTCCATAATTTTACAAGTGTTATCCAGTCGGTTTAATAATTCGTGCACAGTATATTGCTTAATTGAAGAATAAAAAGGCTAACCAACTTAAGTAATCACGGTGGTTTGCGATGGAGCTGTTGTGGTTTCCCGCTTGAAATTTCCAAAGACAAACATTGTATATATATATATATATATATATATATATATACCAGTAGTCCAATAATCACTGTAATTCCTAAAATCAAGCCGGTATTTAAACTTAAGAGCAACGTTTAAATACGCTTGAATAGGCTTTTTCTAAAGTCGAATTCACAGTAGCATAGTTAATACTGTCATTTGTTTCGACTAAATATGTCATAAAAGTATATAAACCTTGTTGTAAAATGAGTAATATGATTATATATTTTTTCAATCTAACCGAAAACAGTAGCATTGTCATCATCAACAAATTTGTGAAGAAATATTGCCTTAGACATTGAATTTTTAATTCTTGAAATCGATATGTGCATAACGGTAAGAACTTTGACAACTAAATTCTCACATTGTAATGTATTCACGTTATGTTTTGTTCTAAAATAGCGTTTATTCAATCTATCTCTGGAGTGACAAAAACGCATATGTAATAGCCTACAATATTTTGTATATCTACTGATGTTGAGCTATGACTAGCAAATTTTAATGTTAATACAGCTAAATAAATGTGAGATGCTATATTTGGCAAACATTTTTCGTCATTTCTTCGTTTGTGGTGTCATTGTAAATACTTCCAACTCAAAAATTTATCTTAAAATCTATCACTAAATGAATTTTTAAAAATTTTAATTTCTTCTTTTGTGAATAAGGTGAAATCTGGGTTGAAATTCTCAGAACCTCTGACAATTACAACCTCGCTTTCCCTTAGAACAGTTCAGAAATAAGGTCGTTTTCCAAGATGTCTTAGTTAGCCAATAATCACGCTCATTATGTTTGCTTAACTATTTGCCACACTAGGGCATGTAAATGAATGGAAACTGCTGTTATAGTACAACTTATTAGTTATGTCACATATGTGCTTCAAAGTTGTTACTGTTGGTTGTAGGGTTTGTCTTGAAGACTTAGTATATAAACTGTAAAAAATTAAATGCTTATTTGGTTATTAAGGAAAAGTATCGTCCCATAAAATTAATATCATGGTACTCAACTGCAATATAACGTTCTTTATTGTTTTTCTCTCCCATTTCCAAGTTGTAATGATAAAATATGAACGTTTAGCATCCCTATACAATAATTTGTTGGTAAACATTTCACGTTTTATGTTTTCGTATTGTGAGTTGAAAAATCTTCTCAGAGTGAGTATTGACATTCTCAGAGTCAACTAGGGCACAAATGTTTGAGAACATATATTCGTCCTAACTATGGCATTTACTGGGAAATTACGATGTGAAACAGTTACTTCGGGATCTTATTGCTTTTCACTTGGCTAGACACCGGTTGTTATCTATACTTTTGTTATCCATTATATCTTTTTCAGTCACCTCCTTAGCAATACATTCACTAGCCACTTGTCATAAACAGTCATCACTCCATCAGTGTTGATAATGTGTGTAGCAATGAATTCTTTTGCGGAACAAGTCAAAAGTTAAATAACTGATTAAAAGTATGCACTTTGCATGTTAAACCGTTGTGTTAACTAAGGTGCGATGCCAATGTGAAAGTCTGTCTATTTCCCTCGAAAATATCTACGTCCTATATCCACATCATTCATGAGGTGCTGCAATTTACGTTAGTCAAAGCGAATTTTACAAAATTTAATCTAACAACAGAATAACAATGTCATATATCTTGGTGGAACGGAGAAGCCTTCGTCAATCACACCTGCCATATACATCGGAAGGCACTCATGGTTTACCACTGACCACTTATACATTCCTGTTATTCGAAGGAAGAGGATTCGTGGAATGATTTGTTAAATGCCTATAAGGCTTAAACTTGATCAATCCTTATGCTTTGATATGTGCTATGATCCCTGACTCACCTGTTGTGACCACAGCATTATCATGTGCAAATGGAATGAATCTGCGACTCTTGCATGTTACTGCTTCTTAAGTAAAATAATGACTTTCAAGTCTAGTATATAATAAAATGTCATTTGCGTGTTTACTTTGGAAGTGAGCTTCTTCAATATGACTCTGTTCCGTTTGTTTAAGCACTGAGTATATTGAATGCATAGAGAATCTGATTTTGCTCAGGTTTTGTATGGTAAAACATGTCTAGAATTCAATGGTTCACTACTTCGTCAACAAAACACTTTAAGTTGTTCATATTTTACATTAACTGTTCTGATTCATATTCAGTCTAAAAATTAAGACTCATTCTGCATTTTTAAGAAGTTTACGTAGAATCTCGGATGATCTATCAAGTGCTTTAATAATGAATAACTCCGAAAGTAAACATGCGAAAGTACTGCTGTGATCACTTTCTTTAAGGTGGTTTTGTAGTCTAAAAATGGTTGACCAGGCCTTTGTTTGGATTTTTACATAAGGCGCTAGGTTATTAAAACCTGTAAGTGGCTTTCAAACTTCTGACTCCAACATGTATGATCTCCAGTTTCGTTAAATGTAGTAATTTCAATGAAAGTTTCGTCATTAATTCCTGAACTTAAAGTTAACTCTTTTGAACTCCAAGTTCACATAGATGATAAAAAAATATGTTGACAGCAAATTTCAAGACCGTCATTTTTGTCGTAATTAGCTGTCAGTGCATTTTGTACGCCTATTGTTGCAAGGATGAAATGGTTCTTACGGGAGGAATGAGTCAGTTTACAATCATGATCGATGATGATTTGATTTTCATTTTTGTATTTCTTAGGCGTCGTTTGTTGTTACAGTGCAATATGAATATTTCACTTATGTTACCATTTAAAATAGAACTCCCTACCTTTCTTTCATCAGTGACTCGTCTTATTCTTTCCGTTTCTTTTCAGCTCCATAAAGGACCTCGTCTTGTGGAAAATCCATACTCCTGGAATAAAGTAGGTCAATTGTATTTTTATTAATTGGTTTAATATTCACGATATACCCTAAAGCTTTTATAAATTTCTCTGAAATAATCTTAATCACTTTTGTTGATCACTCGAGTTGGTTTACCCGTGATAGCAACTATCAAAGAACTTATCAGCTCTATCTTTGCTCCTTTACGACTATAAGATGTAGCTGTTGTCAGAATATCATATACTAAAGAAATTCAAGTTTTCTGATAATTGCTCATATGTTATGTTAGGTTCGTCCTAGGATCTATGTAAGAAAGGCACGTCTGTTGATGTGGTTTGCTATGTTTGGGTTGAGCTACTTTTTATCGATTTTTTAATGGTACTAACTGAGGCAGAGCTGGGAAATTCCCAATGTTTAGACCAAGATATGGTGTCAATTTGTGAAGTCACTGTAATATTTTATAGAATCCTGACCAACAAACAAGTATATGTACGTCAAACTAGTTAGGTCAATAAACTAACTTATACCACATTAACTTATTTTAATTCTTAATTACTTACGCCTGTTACTCCTCGCGAAGGAGCATAGGCCGCTCACCAGCATTCTCCATCCAACCCTATCCTGGGCAATTATTTCCAGCTTTTTCCAGTTCTTATTCACCATTTTCACATCTACTTCTATTTCCCGACGTAGTGTGTTCTTTGGCCTTCCACTTTTCCGCTCCCTTTCAGGATTCCAAGTGGGGGCTTGCCTCGTGATGCAGTTTGATGATTTGCGCAATGTATGTTCTATCCATTTCCATCGCCTTTTCCTAATTTCCTCTTTATCTGGAAGCTGGTTTTTTCTCTCCCAGAGAAGGCTGTTGGTGATAGTATTTGGCCAACGGATGTTGAGTACCTTGCGAAGACAGTTATTGATAAATACTTGTACCTTCTTGATGGTTGTTGTAGTAGTTCTGCAAGTTTCAGCTCCGTACAGTAGAACTGCCTTTATGTTGGTATTGAAGATTGTGACTTTGATATTAGTTGAAAGTTGTTTTGAGTTCCATATGTTCTTCAATTGAATGAATGCTGTCCTTGCTTTGCCAATCCTCGCCTTTACGTTTGCATCTGAACCTCCTTGTTCATCGACGATGCTTCCCTAGTATGTGAAGGATTCCACATCTTCCAGAGTTTCGCCATCAAGAGTGATTGGATTTCTGTTCTCCGCGTTGTATTTGGGGACCTTGATTTTCCCTTTGTGTATGTTGAAGCCTACTGATGCAGAGACTGCTGCTATGCTGGTTGTCTTTATCTGCATTTGTTCGTGTGTATGCGATAGGAGTGCTAGGTGATCTGCGAAGTTCAAATCGTCTAATTGGTTTTGAGCTGTCCATTGTATGCTGTGTTTCCCTCAGATGTCGAGGTGTTCATAATCCAGTCGAGCGCCAGAAGAAAGAGGAATGGAGAGAGTAGACAGCCTTGTATGACTCCGGTCCTTACCTAGAACGCATATGTCAGTTGTCCACTATGAATGACCTTGCACTGTAGTCCGTCGTATGAGTTCCGGATAATGTTGACAATCTTCTCAGGAATTCCATAGTGTCGAATAATTTTCCATAACGTTCTCCTATTTACACTGTCAAACGCCTTTTCATAATTAATGACGTTGATGTACAGTGAGGAGTTCCATTCAACTGATTGTTCGACGATGATCCATTGTGTGGCAATTTGGTTTGTGCACGACCGATCCTTACGGACTCCAGCCTGTTGATCCTGAAGTTGGGCGTCTACTGCGTCTTTCAATTGATTCAGCAACACTCTTTTAAAGACTTTCCCTGGTATTGACAGTAGTGTGATGCCTCGGTAGTTTTCACATTTGCCGAGATCTCCTTTCTTTGGAATCTTGATGAGTGGTCGTTCTTCCCAGTCATTTGGTGAAACATGTTTGTAGTTACTTCGATGTTTGACTTCAATGCTTCAGCTGGTGTATTGTCGAATCCTTCTGCTTTCCTGCTCATTTTAATTCTTAATAATTCGTGTATACCTCTTTATAATTAATTTTCATATATGCACGTCTCATTTAATGTATACGGTTGTATGTTTCTGTCTAACTACACACTCGTTTGTTCGCTTAATTTTGTAAGCTTTCATGTATATATTAGACCGACAATGACCTATTAGCATACATATATATTTATTTGATTTCACCTTTTCGCTGTCTATCGGTCATATTGTCTGAGTTGTAAGTCTAAAATAAATTATTCTAATAACTCCGTTTTAGCTTGTGAATATCATATCTAAAACAAATTAGTCATGTATATTGCAATATTCAATTTCTGATGATTTGAGATAATTAACTATAGCCTGTTTGGTTTGTCTGAGTTAGTAACATGTGTCATGATACATTTACTAACCAGATGATAACAGGTTACGTAATGTTATGATAATAGTTGCTTCAATTTGAACGATATATTTAACTAAAAGGAGTGTATGTATCTTTTAGGACTTTTGGGTCATATATTCTTAGTTTAATGTCTTGAATAAACAAATTAAATGGTGTAATTTATAGTTCCGTCTATTCTGACGAATTGATTTAAAATCGACCACATTGTCTCTACTGCACTCTAGATCTCATACATTAACCTTATTCGTCATTTATTTCCCTTTTTCAACTTATATCATTTGAATATAGTTCAGTGTTCTTCTCTTCTTACTGATTTTCTCTTACGGTATTTTTGAGCTGCCTGTTTGTGACTTCACAGCTAGTAAGACTATTGGAGGAATTTGAATGTCTTTTTCTCGAAGTAATTAGAAATGAGGAATCAATATAATAACTCATTATTATCTAAAAAAACATCAGTACTCATGTTGTATACATGATGTCTAGATTAGTATTGCTCAAATAATTGGGACAATAACTAAACCACATTAGTCTCTTATGTGAAAAGGAGAAGGACAATCAGCTTCCCTTCCTAGATACACCTCTAATTAAACGAAAAGATGGTTCAATTATACAATCCATTTTTAGAAAACTAATATGAATAAGCTAATACCTTAGTTATTATATTTATTACCCGGTGCAGTACAAACGGGGTTTGATAAGATACCTATTTAATAAGCTTAATCGTATTTACACAAATGACTCTATTAATAATGATATTAAATTGTTAAACAAAACATTATTGGAATATTCATGATACAATAAAACCTACTATAGATTTGACAAATAAAAGCTAATTGAATACCATCCTTTATGTTCAGGTTGTTCATGTTCACCCATACATCAATGATTTAGAAACAATTTTTCAACCGTCAACTTGTACTTTTATTTTACCTTCATATAAAAACAAACACTTAACTCACTCCTACACATACATACATACAATGAATGCAATCATTTATTTTTATATTGTGAACTTTTCACATGCTTCTCATATAACTGACCTATGTTATCCTATTTACTAAAGTCAGCATCTAATTATGATTAGATTAGTGTTTTGAATGTTAAACGATGATTTTAATTTTCAATTATTCTATTCTGATGAAGTTCAGACTAGTTTACTGAACAAAATGTTGGAATCATATTTAAATTTCAGTCACTGAGATTATTTCATATAGAATGACTTTTTTATACTTGGCGCCCAAATTTTTTTAAAACAATTCTCTCTAATATTGACCAATATTTATGCATATCAGTATACATGTTGTATGCATGATGGCTAGATTAGTGTTGCTCAAATAATTAGTGGATTAACTACTGATGTTTTCATACTTTCAGTAATAGGAACTCATAGTATTGTGTTACATGTCACAGTTTAACAATGTATGCTAAAACTTAAGATTATGATCTATGTATTTCGCATTGGTACACCATCTTCTTCCCATTTGATTGTCTTATGCATACTTTAAGATTATCACAACAAATAGTGGACATATTATTACTGTTTGTAAATGTATATTATGTTAAAAGCAAAAATGGATAGTGGCTAGCAGTGGAATCCAGGGCGCGCGTTTTATCCTATTTTGAACACGTCAACTGGATGTACCTGCATCTCAGAGTTGATGTCCAATCTGGGACTCGAACCCACTGCTAGCCACTATCCATCTTTGCTTATAATGCTTGTAAATTAATGCAATATCGAGGCAATACGCACAGTATATACATATGCCAATATGAGGCTGATCAATTGCAGTCCTAAACATCAATAGGAAGATTCAAGTAAAACAATATCAAATGAATTATATTAAGTAAAAAAAAACAACTTCATCAATTTTCTCACGTAAACTAAACCTGTTTAATTGACCTTATTTTATTTTTCTTTAGATTGCTAATGTTTTATACCTAGAGGCCCCAGTTGGTGTAGGATTTTCTTATTCTACTGCTACATCTCAAGCATGGGATGATGATCGAGTAAGCACTATGTTTTTGTAACAGTTAGTTTCAAAGTATTGCTTTCATTGATTGTATTTTTCACTGTCAACTTTTTAAGATGGAGAAGTAGTGTCATGAATTCATCCAACCAACCATCCATTGGTTCATTTGAACTAATTGTTTCCTTAGGGTTTACATGTTGACGTCATTTATCTCATGTAATTTAAAACAATTAGTCCCTTTGATAAATTTCGATAGTGAAATGAGAAGATGAAGTTTATCAGAATTATATGATGATATATTTGCACAATACATTTCGAACAATCTGATCACACATTATATACTTGTTAAGAACATTTATATATGAAAATTAAAAGGTCAACTAGAAAGGTTAAGGGTAAGTCATAACAAAGGAAAAAAATATTAAAGTACACAAAAGAAAACCAAATGTGATTACCACTTTGGATAATAAAACAGTATTACCAGGGTAGATCAAGTGTAAGGACAAATTGTTTTTGAACACATAAAGGGGATTTCAATTTTCGTATAGCCAAGGCTTCAATAAATCTTAGTATACGTCCTTGAAGGTTTTTGGATAACACTACAAATGCTGATTTGATGTTAACCTTATGACCAGTTTCAATCAAATGTTTCACAATGGAGGATGATGTCTATCCTGTGATCTTATTTGACCATTGGAATCTATTTGTTTCTGCGACCATTTTGGTATGTGTTCATCCACCCTTAATTGCAAATCACGATTGCTCCTCCCTATTTTACTGTTTCCACACATACATGTAAATTGATAGACACAATGGGATGTAAGACAATCGCTTTCATGCTGTCTGGGCTTTTGGTGAAACATAGACCTTGTCTTTTCAATAATGACAAGTTGCGCTGCATAAAATGTTCGGTTGATAGCTAATTCAAGTCTCCGTTTCAACACGCCTCTGAATGGTAACGTAATATAAACTCGCTTTTTGGGTGCCAGAAGCGTCATAGGTCTAATCGTATTGCAACCCTTCCAGCGGTTTATGAACTTCAGAAAATAACCATTATTCACTAACGTATAAGTCAAGAGATTCATCTCTACTTCAATAGTATCACTAGTACAAATACGATTGATTCTATTGAATAAGCTCTCTATTAAACCGGGTTTGCAAGGAATAGGGCAGTGACTATGAAAATTAAGATATTGCCCTGTCCATGTTGGCTTTCTATATATAGCACGTTGGATGGAACCATCATCTCTCCTACTAATCAAGATGTCTAGAAAAGGAAGTTGGTTGTTCTTCTTTTCTTTACATGTAGGAGAAATGTGCTTTTGACTTCTATTAAATTCTTTTAACGAGCGGTTTATGTCTTCACCTTTATCCCCTGTGATTATTATATCATCAACATATGGTTTATACAGACCCATCTTTCGAATTGAGTCTTCAACTAAATTTTCAACATATCCCATGAACACATCAGCCAGCAATGTTCGTAGAGGGCTACCCATAGCTATACCATCTATTTGTCGGAAGCGCTCTATCATACTGATTTGTCAGTAACTTTTTGTTAGCAGGACATAGATTGGATTAAATCATGCTCATTGCACGCTTGCGTTGGCGCACGCTGATTGGATAAGAATTAGCCGATGCTTGGAGAATACTCTGGAATCTTCTCATGTAAAAGCTATAAATATACTAACGTGTTTTCCTATTGTTCTTCTTCTTACTTTCATCTAACCTTTGTCATTTAGAATATAATCTCTTTCCTGTTCAACCATGTTCTGATTTGGGGACTTGTCGAGTGAATTGGTGTCCGTGAATATTAAGCAATAGGAATAGCTGGGTTATAACCGTAAGAGAGAGAATTATAACACTTTTCAACTGTTTACCAAGTATAACTTGTTCAAGACAATAAACTAAATTAATGTATTATTTAATACAATCAGTGACAATGATAGTTAGCTATCCAAATTCATAATGAATTCATTAGGTATTTAAAGAATAGTTTTGTATTCTACTTCAAGTGTACAGAGAAGTTTCATACAATCGATTCCCTTTATGAATTTGATCAAAGGCAGAACAACAATTGAAACAGAATAATATAAATTCATTATATTTTGTGGTTTCATATCAGCTACTTACAATCATAAATGTATTAGAAGGTAACATTAAGGTATTATATAATGTGAAACAATTGACATTGATAACGAAGAGAATTAGAATGACAAAGATTATCAATAATAACTTTATATGTATATGTATATATATGTGCGAGAATAGGTTAGGGGTCATTTGGAGATCGGTGGGTGATTCATCAATTAAATAAGATCTAGAGACAGAGACGATGGATAATGTGATAAATTTATAGGTTGTGAAGGTTTTTCATAACATTACAGGAATTAGAAATCGATAAGATGGGTTATGTGATGATTGAATAAAATTTGAAAGGTTTACATAAGTTAAGGAAATTAAGTGAATAAAGACATATGAATTGAAGGAATGGTTTTATTGTATCTGATATAAGAATTAGTTGAGGGAAGACCACATAACAAAATAAGATAATGATAGTGACAGAAATAATTTACGAAGTTAGTGATAAGTTTATTTATTGCTATTACTTTGGCGAATTAAAGAAACGTTGCGTTGTTTTATCTGTTATTAATGTTGAAGGCTTGTAGAATGTCAGTAGTATAGTTAATGTCAAGTAAATGCCGAGTTCTTTCACTCTTTAGAGCCAATGTGCCTCTCAGTCTCAAGTTCTTTCGGACGTGGTTGAATATATGAACATATACTCTTTAATGAATGTGCTTTGGTACATTCATGTAAATTGGTGAATGCGTTGAAGGTTGACAATCCATCAGTAAAACTGACAACGTTACGTCAAACAAACAAAAATTGGCAGGTCCTCTTTTTTTAGTACTTTCAACTGCATATATATAGTTATTATTGATCATTTTTGTCGCTCTAATTCTCTTCGTCGTCAATATCGATTGTTCCACATTATATCATACCTCAATGTTACCTTCCAATACCTATATGGTTGTAAGTAGCTGATGTGAAACCACGAACTATAATGAATTCATATTATTCTGTCTCAATTGCTATTCTGGTATTATTCATACACTGAGGAGTTTAGGTAAATAAATAGTATTGTTAGGCTTCACACAAGAAACTGTTTCTTCATTTGCTAGTTGGTACATGACTTTTAAGTCACCTTATCACAATTATTATTGGCATCACGTGTGTGATGGTTGGATGGGATAGAATTTATCAGGTCACCACTCATTCATGAATTATCTTTCATATCTCTATTAAGAGCCCCTAAAAGTATTCAATGTACTGATATTATTAGATTTCGTATATTTTAGCTCCAAATAATCACGCGTTTCCTGATCTCATGAAGAGAATCAATTGGTTTTGCTAACCGAGTACCAACCAGCACAAAATGTAGACCAAGCAGAGCTTCTTACCCTTCACCTGTAATCAATTCGTTACCTAGTCAGACATAACCGAAGTAGAATATGACTTTCAACTACTTAACATAATAAATATCCTTTGTCATCTATCAACTAGTGCTTGAAAGTTTGAAGTCTTTTTTCGTTTATGTATATAATTTTCACATTATTATAATCGAATTTCCTTCCGTTCAATTTTCATGTTAAAAAATAGACTGCTTTAGACAATTATCATGCATTGCTTCATTTCCTGAAAAAGTTCCCCGAATATGAAGGACGTCGTCTATTTGTTACTGGTGAAAGTTACGCCGGTGTTTACGTGCCAACATTAAGTCTACTTCTTTTAAATTCATCAAGATTCGACTTCAAGGTATAGTTAAACTGTTTTTTTTTTTTAGAGAAATGTAGTTATCATTATTCTCCAGCAAACCATCGAACAGTTTTTCTTGATATCATGAACCGATATAAGTTAGGCAATGATTGAGAACCTGGAAGCACTGGACTGCCATTTCGTCTTAGTATGGGACTCTATAGTGCACACCCGGCTGAAAAACTGGGAATCGAACCCAAGACCTTTGGTCTGATAAACAGACGCATAACCTGTAGACCACTGAGCCAGGATCCAACCGTGTACAAGTCAATCAATCCACAAAACTGCATGACCATCTTCCCCTGTTGGTTTTCTTTTACGTTTATCCAGTTAATAATCATATTTTTCAATATTATTTAACTGGAATAGTTGATGTTGAGTCCTGGTGAAAATTAGCCATGCCTATTGAGAATGTTCATGATATGATTGGGTTGATGAGTTTATAATTGCAACTAGGAATACTCCCCGATTTCCTGTGATCAACCTACATGAAAACACTTATATAGCAATCTATCGTATTGTCCAATCGTCCCAACAAAATGTCCATGTGACAACGAGAACACATGAGTCAATTTCAGCAAAGCTAGACGTCGGCTGACAGATATTTTGTCTAGGAAACTTGATAAACCCAATTTTGAAACTAGTTATATATATGAGTTTCATTATCCTGAAAGAGTTAATCGTCTATGAACCTACCTTGATCATTGACTGCCATGGGAATTACTCCACCGTTTTGTGCGTTAAATCTTCAGGTTAATAACTCGACAGTGACCTCCTAAGTTAATACTGTATTTATTTTAAAGCGGCTAAACAGTATCACAACCTTCACAAAAATCATGATAGTTCCAATAAGGAATATGAATAACTCCTTGTACAGTAAAAGGTGAAAAAACGCGTCTATCCTAGAAACCTCATCACCTCTTAAGTTTTGACAGTTTTGAATTCCTTGAGCTGTTATATATTGCTTTATTCATTGTCTTTCGTCTTCATTCAAGATCATATCTTGTTCATGATAATTATAAATATAAGGTGAAATACTAATCCATATGTATATGACAAATATAACTTTTTTAATTTGAAATGTTGTTTAGATGCATTAACAATTTCAGACAGCTTGATTACATGTAAACAATGGTTACCACTGGAAGCCTTTTACAACGTATATTTCAATATAAATTTCATAATTATTAATCCTTTAGATAGTTACAAAACACAAATTGGTAGTGAATAAGTCTCAAAATAAAGAATGGAACACTTACTAAGTTGATTTCTTAATCTCAAGTAGCTATTAAATGGAAAAGTATCTGAAAAGCCTGAAGAATCGGAGCAAAAATCCAGTTTGAATCGTTTCTACAATTTTCAGTGATATTTCTTTTTTTTTTTTTGTATTAAACTGAAGAGAAACTACGTCAAGACTAATGAAATTCACAAAACGTGCTCTATCAGACGACTCTAACTTAAATAGTCATCTGCTCTATGTCAGTTCGCTGATTCTGCTCTATGGAATTCATCTGTGATTTGACTAATTATTTGTCTTTCTCATTAAGACTATTCTCGAATCATAATTGTAACCAAATTTCATTATACAAAGCCATCGAGTAGATAATTACATTTATGTATTTGGAAATAGTATAACCAGTTATTCATAATTACCATATAGAGCCTGTCACAAATTCTGTGCATTACGCCAGGTTGGTACCCCCACATCGAGACGACATGATGAAATTAACAAGTCATATAAGCAACGTAGTCGAAGTGATCGAAACAGTAATGATAATGATCAGCACTAAATATTCAGAACGTGGTTTCAGAAGACGGGATGAAACTGTATGTACGAAAGAATACTGGAATTTGAAGAAGAGTTCAATAGAGAATGAATACGTATCCCTCGCGATGTCACTTAACATCTTTAAACACTGATCACGGTTATCTCATGGACCTCGGTTGATTTGTCTGTACTCAATAAAAAAGCTCAAATCAACAGTCACTAATTGGATGAACTGGCATTATGTTTTGGTTTAGTCTACCTTCGTATAACATATCACATAACAATTGATTAACCGAGAATAACTATGGTGATCATAAAGTATTCTACAGTATTCCACTTTGATCCATTTCATCAAGAGTTAGATATCATTAATTTTTCTATTCATGAAAAATCTGTTCTAATTTCAGTCCAACAGTTAGTTGATTTACATTTTGAACTGTTCTGTCCTTCTTTTTCATTCATAGGCCATTGCTGTTGGAAATGGATTGACTAATTACAGATTCAATGATAATTCTCTTTTGTATTTTATTAATTATCATGGTTTGATTGGTAAAAAGTAAGTAATCAATGTATGTATGTATGAATGTATAAAAGTAGATGTTAGTTGGACTGTCAAACACTTCCGTAATTAGTATTTACTTAAGTAATAGTGAAAATCCCATCTCCTGTGAACTGTATTTCTTCTCATGATTAGTCTTATTTATGGAAATAAATTGTTACGTTTTTTTTGTCCCGACCGTTGTTTCTACCTTGACGTGGTGGTCAGGCTTGCCTATCGTAATGAACCAATCGAGCTATACTGGTTGAAACAATTGTTCCTCAAGGTCTTACCATGCCAGACAGGTCGTTTGAAGAGTGGTATGACTAAAAGCAAACCCAAGGTTTGAAGGCGAAGTCGTATCGCTGACTGTACAGAGGTGTGACAGTAGTAAGGTGTTTCTTTCAGATAATTAGCATAATAGAGATTATGCCTTTCCATAAATGTTAGAGTAGTTTAAAGTAGAATAAAATTACTATGCCCTAATTTTTGTCAAATGATGTTTTTCTGATATAAGTCATCGTATTTATTGAACAAATTACTACTACTCTACTTGCACACAAGTTGGTTGCTGAGAGATACGTTTAATTTAATTTTTGCAGTTGTTTTTCGGGTGGGGGGTAGAAGTGGTAGTATTGAATGTGAAATGCTAACTAGCGCCCCTCCCCCTTGGACTGTTCAATATGTTATAGTTTAATAGTTATGAAAGGACGGACCAACGCTGAAGTGAGAGAGAGAATACAATGGGCACACTTGTAGGTGTTATGTGTGTTATTAGAATAAGGTGCTTAATTATGTGTAAAGTAGTCGTGATTACATACAGCTATAACTGTGTATCCTTTTACTCTTTTCCCCTTCACCTTTTCTCCTTAGTTCATGGAATGATCTAAATAATAAATGTTGCAAAGATAAATGTTCAACCGTTTGTATGTTCACCGATAATGAATCACCTGAATGTCAACAGATTGTGAGTTCGTTTATAGACAGTCTGTGTCTGTTCAATGTTTTTGTAATTTATTTCATGTTCAGTTTGTACACTGACTTTTGGTATGGGTGTATTTTTTTGTTGTTTTACAGATATGTTCTCATTACTTACACATTGAACGTGTAGCTTGTTTCAGTTGAACTGGGCATGCATGCGTTATATGTCTCATTCATCGTCTCCACCTTGACGTGTATCAGAGTGGCTAAGCTAAAAGTGTGTAAAAACTGTGTTAGGAGACCGTCAAAGAGCTTCATTTAACTGCACCATTTTTGCAAATGTTTCCTGGATTCCCGGTTTGATAACCTAACTACTTTTGATTTAAAACAATATTTTTATACGTTGCTATCGCCGTGTTTCATAAGTTAGCTATAGATACGTTCAATCTTTTCACATACCGGGAAGACCTTTTATCTTTGCATGTATGTGTCTCGGTGCAGCCAAAAATGGGGGGAGTCTGCAGTTCCTGTAGAGATGCTCTCATACAAACAAGCGTTTGGAACCTCTACTACTGCAGTCTTACCGATAAGGTGAACGTTGTGGCTGCGTTTTTTACCTACGAAAGAGGACAAAAAGTGAACGTGTGGGACTTGAAACGTGTTGAGAGGTACGTAAGCTCCACTCAGGGTGGCCTTGTTCCCTATTAATATGTGAAGTAATTATACCACCAATTAGAGAACAATGATTTATCGACCTGACCAATGACACATAAAACCCGTACGAGCAGTCTAGAGTCCTTTACCGGTCCTGCTTCCTGCTTAGCCCTGCATGTTAAATCCAGAACACTGATCTCAGCCTCTGCAATATGAATCATTTATTTCAAACATGTTGGGTTTATATACAAATCAAACAGACCACATCGTATCATAAAATAGAAAACAATTGTGCAAGATCTAGCCAAAAGTGGTTGTGAATGTGGGAGACTGTAATGAATAGACTGGGTATAACTCAAGAACGGTAAATCGAATAATAATAGTTTTTGAGTCACAATAAAGCTTATAATAAGAGGAACACGAATATGAATAGTTTAGCTACTTAACAATTATACAGCAAGAATCTATGTAACGTATTTATCCATAAATGGTTCTCAAAAGTTACCATCCATAATTCACTTCATCATATGACAGGCGGAAAACCCTAACTTCAAACCAGTTGTGTTACTTTCACCCCAGTATCCCAAAGAAATGGATAGCTTATTAATTTGTTTTGGTCCCCGGCCACCATGGGATGGCACCTCCTGTTGTCCTCCCACCGCCTTGTAGATAAGACCTTTAAGTTAAAGACTCTGAGATATGATCCTTAGGAAAGTTCTCTGATTCAGTTTAGGAGGTTAAGAAATATCCCCCACACACAGAAATATATCAACACGGACAAACGCATTTGCTTGCAGGCTCATTGTTTGATCAATAAATAATACTATGAAAAAAATAAGCATACTTATACACTGTTAAATGGCTATTATACGTCTACTAACTAACGACTTCGAATCCGAGACACACATATTTTAATTCTAACAATCTTTTGCTAATAGTGTAGTTCATACTGTACTATTTGCTCTATTTACATTTTCGCTAGTATATGTAGCTGTTATATTATGATCTACGTTATAATGTTGATGATTCCACTCTTGTTTTTGGTTGTAAACTGATAATCAATTTTTTCCAGAACCTATTTACTATTCTTGAATTCCTTTTCCTAACACACCATACCATAATAATATGGAATCTGTGAATCATTTTTCTGGTTTCTTACAACTATGTTATAATCAGAATGGGGATTTGTGGAGATTGTAGTATTTTCAGAGTTGAATTCATAAATCATGAGGTTTTCAATGATGATCTAGTTTAAATCAACTCATTAATTCAACTGTTAAAATTGTATTATTGGTATTTTCTAGGTTAGTCAACTACATGAAACTTCTATGAAAGGATTAAATGAGTATAATTTATATTCTGAATGTGCTGGTGGTGCTCAAATGTCATCTTTCAATTCTAATCGTTCATTAATGTCCATTTCTGAATTGTCTTCCATTCTGGCAACATCTAAGCAATTTATTCATCATGATTTCGGTAATCTGTTTCGTGATAATATCTATCTGAAATATCGTCGTTACGCCAAGTAAGTCAGTCAAGTTTGAATTTTGTACTTAACGGGGATAGGCGTTTTTAAAAATTGTATATTTAGAAATTTATTTCCAACAATATGACACGTGCCACAGAAAATTGGACATCGTTATATATACAAGATTATAATTCACAAACTACTTAGCTTTTAACCATGAAGTTGTAGGTTCGAACCCCATCTCGCTTTAATTCAAGTAATCGAGTGATGTATTTTTGACCCCTATATAGTCGATGCATACTTGGTAAATGAAGCGAATGATAGGAAACGAGGTTTTTCCTCGTATGTTTATTTTGTTTGAATAGAAAATCAAGACATGTTGGTTTCCATTGAACATCGTGTCTAATGGGTTTTTCGATCGACTGGGTTTTACATTCTGTCGGGTATATATATATATATAGGCACGTGTGTGCCTGGTTCCTATATTGTAGCTGACAGATTGACTGTTTTAATTGTTAAACCAATAGCGTGACCCCTGAATTCTCTGGTACGGCCGAGAGTAAGGAGAGTCAGCTCTCCTTCTCGAAATGCTTTCACGTGGCAACGTGCGTACAACCACTGCCAGGGAAGCCCTACTCACTGCTTTCTTGTGGCAGGGATGTTGTTTACGAAATTGAAAGGACGAAAAGCGAATGTTCGGCGGTTTAACCAAGTTGATGGATATGAAAGATTCACATAGGAGAGCTGAAAAACGTGATTCCGAAGCAATGGTGCACATGGGTTCCAGGATTCTAAGGAAACAAATGGCATATGAACCTATTGTTGGTCACCGACTGTTATAGGACTGAATCCTCTTAACGCTGATCCATTGCCTTATAGATAAAATCTCTGGATAAAATGTTCGGTGTGTGACCCACCTAAGAAAACCACATGTTTTAGGTTTGGCTACTCGAGCAGTATCCCAGCACACACACACAAGTTTACTGATTTATATGGAGCATGTATGTTTTGGTGCTCGTTTGTATCAATGTTTATATGTTTTATTTTTATTTATTTATTTTGCCACATAGATATCGGTACAAGAAGGCACCAAATACATATGCGCCACACAGATCTCATTTGATATGTGTGAGCACTGTGATCCTACCCGGGTGCCCAAACCGAAACAGGTGGTTTTCTTAGGGGGCCACACCTCGAGCCTTCGACCTAAAGGTCTGATCCACAAGGCAATGGAGCATCGTAAGGAGATGCAGTCCCATGGTAGCCGGTGACCAACGATAGGTTCATACACCATTTGTTCCTTTAGGATACTGGAGCCCATATGGATCATTGGTTTGGGATCCGGTTACAGCCGGTGCCGGAAATTCGGTTTTCGTCCTCTCATTTTCGTAAACAACACCCGTGGTGCGAGAAGGCAGTGAGTAGGACTTCCCTGGCAGAGGTTATATACACGTGGCCATATGAAAACATTTCGATAGGGAGAGCGGACTCTCCTCACTCTCGACTGTACCAGGGCATTTGGGGGCGTTTATATGTTTAAATAAATATACATATCTGTTTCAATAAATATGCTGGTTATTAACCAATAGAGTGAATATAAAAATTAGATGACATTTTCAACTTTAAATAATTATTTCATTCCATTATTTACAGATTACAACGATTTTTTATTTGGAACTGTTCCAGTTCTTTCATTATTATTATTATGCTTATTTGTATTTTGAATGGCTCATTAATTAGGTTCTATATTGTTCATGAATAATGACTACTGATGTGCGTGTACTAGCATACTTCATGAATTCATCAGTAGAAGGGTTTGTTTATGTGAATATATGTATGGCTATATGCTAAATAAGATAAATGTCTAATATCAATATTCACTGTGTCAATAATATTCAAATCTATATGTAAACTATTAACTTATAATCTATTCAATGTGATAAATCGTGTGTTGAAATTGTATAATGAAGTGTTTCTCGTATGTTTTTAATACATCTAATATGATGTTAATGTATTACCAATATTATTCAATTTATATGACCATCTTTCCATAATGATGTGTTAATATAAAACTTTTATATTGATTATTAAAGAGATTAACCCTTATCGTTCTAAGTATTTCAGATATGTTTTAGATACATGTTTAACCATTATTTATCTTGATGTTAATTACTGGTTGACATGGAATGACCAGCGAATCAAATTCTATAGTTGAGTCCCGTTAAGTAGAAAGAGAAACCTCATCCATTCTTTATGTTATCGAATACACCAGATATGTATTACGAAATGCATTAATGAAGAACTCGCATTCCTCAAGAAAACCTTGATGGAAAATAGTTACCCAGAACGGTTCATAGAAAAGAATATGAATAGAAGTAGTTATGATAAGAAATCTAGTTGTTCCGTACAGAAGAAAAACTTTTATATAAGTGTGGAATTTAAAGGTGATCGAACATCAGACGTAATCAAAAATCGTTTAACAACAACGATTAATAGATCATTTAATGAGGCTAAACTACAAATAACCTTCACTAGTAGGAACTTATGTTCTGTATCCATAAAAGATAAGCTTCAGCGTCTGGTCGCCTCTATGTGCATCTACTAGTTCACCTGCTCTTCTAGAGCAAGGTACATCGGCCGTAGCAAGCGCTTGTTTTCAACTCGAATACGGGAACGTATCCCAGCTTGGTTCTATAAGGGTGAAAAGAAAGCAGTTAGAAGTTCTATACTTGAACACTTAATCGACTGTAAATATTCTACAGATCCATTAATTGATTTTAAGGTTGTTTGTCCGGCGCTTTAACCGGATCCCAAATCAATGGTGCACATGGGCTGGCTCCAGTATCCTGAAGGAACAAATGGCGTATGAACCAATCGTTGGTCACCGGCTACCATGGAACTGCATCTCCTCACGATGCTCCACTGCCTTGTGGGTTAGACGTTCGGGTCGAAGGCTCGGGGTGTGGCCCTCTAAGAAAACCACCTGTTTCGGTTTAGGTACCCGGGCAGTATCACAGCCCTCACACAAATCAATTGAGATTTGTGTGGCGCATATGTACTTGGTGCCTCCTTGTACCTATACCTATGTGTTAAAATAAATAAATAAAATAAATTTAAGGTTGTTTATTTGATTCGTTCAAATCTACACAGATTTCTTCGTATCCAACTTTTAAAAATAGCCGAAGCTCTTACCATTCAGGAGCTTAAACCAGAACTATGCGTACAAGAGAAGTACGTCTTGTCTTTATCGTTACTTTGGCCTTAATTGTTTAGATTATTATTATTATTATTATTATTCGTATTATTATTATTCGTATTATTATTATCATTACTGCATTCCCCCCTTTACTTATGTCTTATATTCTCATTGTTTTTATTCGTAAATACTCATCATATTACCTCATTTATTTCTACGTTTCTATGACCTATAATTATAGTAACAAAAACATTTTAATCATCTTATTATATTCACTAAATCTATTGTTATTATTCGTATTACGTAATCTAATATTATAACCTTTTTTATTACGTCATGGTTAACTGTGTTCACATTTCCTTATGGAATTAGTACTTTTACAAAAACAAATAATTTTCATAAATATATACGATTGTACAGCTTGATTATAAATTTGTTGAAAAGAGATCCCTTCACTGAACTTTGTGTTTTAATAAGAGTAGTAGGCTCAAAGAAAGCTAAAAATAATCATCTGAACTCATTACTTCTTTGATCTTACTTTGTTGCCTGATAGGTTGATACGTTTGTGTTTTGGATTTCTATTTCAGAACACCAACTTGAGCACGGTAAATAAGACTTACTTACTGGCACATTTACTTACGCCTGTTACTCCCAATGGAGCATAGGCCGTCGACCACCATTCTGCAATCCACTCTGTCCTGGGCCTTCTTTTCCAGTTCTATCCAATTCTTATTCATTTTTCTTATGTCTATCTCCATTTCTCGGCGTAATATGTTCTTTGGCCTTAAGGATTCCAATTAAGGGCGTGTTTTGTAACTCAGTTGGATGCTTTCCTCAATATGTGTCCTATCCACTTCGAGCGCTTCTTCCTAATTTCTTCCTCCGCTGGGATCTGGTTTGTTCTCTCGCACAGTACGTTGTTGCTGATAATGTCTGGCCAACGGATCCGAAGTATTTTGTGTAGACAGCTGACTTCCGAAGGAACTCGGCTTTCACCATGAGACATGATAACTCTTCTAAATGAAGATCTTCTAACTCTCAGGGCAGAGTTTAAATGGTTTGAATTATTTTTTCTAGTCAGTATTTCTTTAGAGATTTAGTTTTCTACGGGATGGGCTGGTTAACCCTATGCCCAACCCTACTCCTTTATCCGGGCTTGGGGTTGACAGTAACCTTGAGGGGCTCCAGGCTTCTATGATTTACTTGTCTGCCCATTAACTAAAGTGAGAAGTTCTTATTGTATGGGAGCTTTCTTGATAAAGAATCCAGAAGAGTTAATTTAGTACCTAATAAAATGGGATGACACACAAAATAAACACTATAAAAATTCACATATAATTAAAGGAAATTAATTTGTGCGTTTATCACCATCCAATTAATCAAGATCTGATTGTTGGACCTAGTTCCTGAGTATCGTATCATAGGCACGGGATCTCTGGTTACAGTCTATACAATGATCTTAACCAATAACTGGAAATAAATTGTAATAGCTCACATGTATTTATTTTTGTAGTTTATACTAGATCTTCAGTTTGGTTTCATTTTTCCTATTCTTATCTCATTCTTTGATTGTGAATTTTTTTCTTTAATCGTCTGATGTAAACTGTGACAACTTGAACTAATAAGAATTAATGTCTCTTTCCTGCATTGTTAATGACTCTGCTAGTTGAATATTCAGAGAGTACTTCAAGTTCAAAGCAAAATTTACAACACTTATACCTTTTTAAATGAAAATTAGTTAAACAGTTTAGGGGTTGTGTAGATTGTTAAATTTTTGATTGAGATCATGAACCGATTGATGTTAGACCACAACCCCTAAACTGATAATTGCCATGTGCTCACTAGTGACTAACTTCGTGAAAAATTTCTCGGAGTTGTGGTGAGAAGTCGTGACCAGTAGAGCTAATACGTGTCGGGGAGAAACGGGTGTCGCGCAACTTCGTGGATTGATTGAGGTTGGACATTAACACTGTTGGATGCCGGCCAGTTTAATGGTTTAGTAGGTTAAGCGTTCACGCTCGAGAGAGACTGAAGACCCTGGGGTTCGAATCGTACAAGCCGGATCGTGGATGCGCACTGCTGAGGAGTCCCACAATAGGACGAAATGGTCATCCAGTTCATCCAGGTTTTCAATAGTGGTCTAACATCAATCAGTTCATGATCTCAATCAAAAAATGTAGTTAATCATATAATACTTTTCAGAAAGTCACTCAACGGTGTGTTTGTGTATGTGTGTGTTTTCTATTAAATCACATAAATAATAACTAAAATTGTACTATTCCAATTAAATAAACATTTTCACATTATAATGAATGATTAAACAACATTGTATTACAGAGATAAAATCCATTCTGTCTTTAAAAGAAAACGATTATGACATAAAACTGATCATGTTAATAAATGATATAATTGACTATTTAATGCACTGGGTGTATACTTCCAAAAAAGGTTAACTTAATGTTGAATACCGGACAAAAATGTATCGATCATATGTACACTTATTCATAGTGTTTAGTATGCTGAAATGTGACAACTAAAACAGAGATTCGAAATGAAAGTCAATCAATCAATAATAATATTTAGTGTCCAGGATTAATATACATTCCTCCAAGTTGCTCTATCATATCTTAAATGAAGATTTACGACGAAAAAGAAAGTCAAATACAATCAAGAAATCATAGGATACATATTGTTATTATCTTTCTGAATATAACTAATCCAAGACATCACAACATAACACTCATTGATAGTAACGATAATTCATGTAAGTCTACAAGTTCCAAAACTCTTTCACTATTCAGTTCCCCTCTCTCTCTTTCTCTCGTTACTTTTAATCTTTTGTAACTTCTGTTATTTTTTCATTTTGTTTTATTTTGATATTCTAGTTCTTTAATACGTCATAATAAGACTACTCGTTTAATTATACCATGTGTAGATGATACAGTGATTCGTAGTTATTTAAATTCACCAATAGTACGTCGATTTATTAATGTAAAACTTGATTTACCGATAGAATGGGATGTTTGCAGTGAAACAGTTAATGTCAATTATGTTCGAATTTATCGTGATCTTACAGAGCAGTATATGAAATTACTTCAATCTAAGGTAGGTTTATTTTTGTACACACTATTAGCCTATGCTATTTGTTTAATTAACAAAACCTATTTATATAGTACAGATTGAAGTAGTAGGCTCTTTGAGTTACAAAGCATATGTTTGTATAAACTATTAATACATTTGATTAGTCACTGAGAAGTGTCCAATGTAAATGATCAATCAATTGTAGATTACCTATACTTAAAAGTGACTAGTTACAGCTCTAATAACCATATGGTAACATCACACATTGTATAGCTGGATGACATGGGTTCGAATGTTTTATGAACTATACGTTCCTTGAAGATTACAGTGATGTGTTGTTGATGATAAGGGATAATTTGTACGAGACCTGTGTTAAATAAGATTTCCTCCTGACCATCTTCGATCACTTAACAACCGGTGGTACGATATAATATTTGGTTTTCTCAACGAAAGTAATACTTACACAACAAATCAAGGATAGGTTAACGACGATGGGTTCCTTCATGTGTGTATACAATTCAACTGCTCCTGTGGAGCTAGTCACATAGACCGTACTCAGAGGGCTTTATCCTTGCGTGTTCGTGAATATGTACCAGCGTGGTTGGATAAAATAGTCACTTACTCGATCAACACTACTATTTTTTCTCACTTGGTAGATAGTGAACATCATATCAAAATATAGGAAGCTTTCTTTGTTTTATTTCAAGTTCCGAAGAATCTACCTCAAAGAACTAGATTACGGCTACTTTACATCTCTAAAGCCATCTGGATCAATTTCAGAAAACCAAACTCATGTATTCAGAAGAGCTTTATCCAGCCTCTATGTTTAACTTGAACTACGACTAAATTACCGGATACCTAAGCTTGATATTATAAACTTGTTACCCCCCCCCGTTTTATTTGACTACGTCTAATTTAATCTTCATATCCATCGTTCCCTCTTATTCTACATAATATTCACACAACGATATTATTATTATTATCAGAAGGAGTCAGTTGTGAGATAGTGACTCACTGATGACAATAGTGGATGTATCACTCAATTTCGTGGATTAGTTGAAGTGTTAGACATTAACACCGTTAAGTTAAATGCTCGCGCGCGAGACAAGTAGGTCCTGTATTCGGATCTCGCGAAGCGGGATCGTGGATGTGCACTGCTGAGTAGTCCCACAATAGAACGAAATGGTCGTTCAGTGCTTCCATGTTTTCCATGATGGTCTAGCTTCAGTTGACTCATGATCTCATCAATTGAAATGATATTATTATTGTGATTACTTCGATTAACATGATGAAATTCTCCTACTATGCACTTTATTCACACGATTACTTTTGTTTTTTTTGATTTTTGCTATAATACTATTCTACTAATTATGACTTGATACTTTACTCCAAATCATTCTGATCTTTGTAATTTTCAAATTAACACAATTTCAATGTATTCAAGTAGTAGTAGTAGTAGTAACAGATGCACATATTCATCCCTTTTAACATTATCAAAGTTATTATTACATGTATTATTTCGACCTTTGTAAAATATCACAATAGTTATGGACTTGTAATTGTAGACTTTAATAATGATGAAGTTATTGAAAACAATTGTTCAGTTCAGAAAACAAAAAAAGAATATTCTTCACATTTTTGAATGGAAAATTGTTTAGATTAATGAATATAACCACCATTGACTTAACTACTCCTATAAATCCGGTGTTCATGTTTCTGTGCTAATGAGCTATGACAACTTGGACCGATGTATGTATATATATATGCCTGGTTCTATATTGTAACTGACTAACTAATATAACACAACTATTGATTATTAAATCATTACCGTAAAGTATAGTAGAGATTTTCAAATGTAAAGTAACAGTATTTGACGAATTATTGATAAGCGGGAATTATTTTTTGCATGACAATTATAGATTTTCATTTTAATATACAACGGTGATATTGATATGGCATGTAATTATATTGGCGATGAATGGTTTGTGGATAATTTAAACCTAACGGTAGGTTATTCAGTGAATAAACTCTATTCATGATTGTAATAAACGTTTTGTTCGCATTAAATAGCAATATATGAATTGAAGCTGGAAATTAACACTGTTAGATGCCGGCTCAGTTGTCTAGATGTGTTAAACGTTGGAGTGCAAGGCCTTAGGTTCTGGGTTTGAGTCCCGTATACAAGATCGTGGATGCGCACTGCTGAGGAGTCCCATACTGGGATGAAACATATTTACAGGTTTTCAATGGTAGTCTAGCTTAGATTAACTCGTAATTTCAACTTTGAAAATATTTAGATAAGACAACTGATTAAAACAGTTGATTGTAATTGTTGTTATAACAAATATATTGTTATTCCTTAATATTTTACGTTAAATCAGCACCCAAATGCCGTGGAACTATTCACTCAAATTTAGACGAAAATTCTTTTATGGTCGTTATTATGACCTAATAATGTGTTGAATAAATTCTCAAGTCACCTAGATTACTGGATTCTGAGTTTGAGTGAACTGTGTTGCGATGTTAACATTTATCCATTGAACGCATCGGTTTGATTTCGGATTGTAATTTATTATTTACGATATACGTGTAGCAGTTTACACATATCAGTCTTTAATGTAAAGTTTTACGGTGTTTTAAGAACTGGTGATATACTGTCTGTTGAGTATTGAAAATGAATATTGCAACTCTTGACCTTGTAATTTAACAGTTTATTACACTGAATTTTAATTCAACATTAGTTTCAACTATACTGTAACTAAAATGTCATAGTATGTCAATTTTTTCCATATAGTGGCGTTATTATTACTTACGCCTGTTACTCCTCGCAAAGGAGCATAGGCCGCTCACCAGCATTCTCTATCCAACACTATCCTGGGCAATTATTTCCAGCTTTTTCCAGTTCTTATTCATCATTTTCACATCTACTTCTATTTCCCGACGTAATGTGTTCTTTGGCCTTCCACTTTTCCGCTCCCTTTCAGGATTCCAAGTGGGGGCTTGCCTCGTGATGCAGTTTGATGATTTGCGCAATGTATGTTCTATCCATTTCCATCGCCTTTTCCTAATTTCCTCTTTATCTGGAAGCTGGTTTTTTCTCTCCCAGAGAAGGCTGTTGGTGATAGTATTTGGCCAACGGATGTTGAGTACCTTGCGAAGACAGTTATTGATAAATACTTGTACCTTCTTGATGGTTGTTGTAGTAGTTCTGCAAGTTTCAGCTCCGTACAGTAGAACTGCCTTTATGTTGGTATTGAAGATTGTGACTTTGATATTAGTTGAAAGTTGTTTTGAGTTCCATATGTTCTTCAATTGAATGAATGCTGTCCTTGCTTTGCCAATCCTCGCCTTTACGTTTGCATCTGAACCTCCTTGTTCATCGACGATGCTTCCCTTGTATGTGAAGGATCCCACATCTTCCAGAGTTTCGCCATCAAGAGTGATTGGATTGCTGTTCTCCGTGTTGCATTTGGGGACCTTGATTTTCCCTTTGTGTATGTTGAAGCCTACTGATGCAGAGACTGCTGCTATGCTGGTTGTCTTTATCTGCATTTGTTCGTGTGTATGCGATAGGAGTGCTAGGTGATCTGCGAAGTCCAAATCGTCTAATTGGTTTTGAGCTGTCCATTGTATGCTGTGTTTCCCTCAGATGTCGAGGTGTTCATAATCCAGTCGAGCACCAGAAGGAAGAGTAATGGAGAGAGTAGACAGCGTTGTATGACTCCGGTCCTTAGTTGGAATGCATTTGTCAGCTCTGTTAAAGACTTTTCTTGGTACTGACAGTAGTGTAACGCGTCTGTTGTTTTCACACTTGCTCAGGTCTCCTTTCTTTGGAATCTTGATGAGGTGTTCTTCTTCCCAGTCCATGGGCACTTGTTCGTCCTTCTCCCAAATCTTCTTGAATAGAAGGTGAAGTGTATTTGTAGATACTTCGATGTCTGACTTCATCTGGTATGTTATCAGATTCTGTTGCTTTCTCGTTCTTGTTTTGTGTGATGGCTATCTTGATGTCTCTTTGTTTTCGGTGGATTGACATCTATAGGTAGGTCTGTGTGTGCTGCTTTGATTTCCGGTAGATTCAATGGAGTTGGTCTATTTAAGAGTTCCTTAAAGTGCTCGACCCATCTATTCCTCTGTTCTTGAATTTCAGTGGTTGGCCTGTCTTCTTTGTCCTTGACTGTTCTCTCTGATTTACTATATCTTTCTGCTAGTTTCTTCGTTGTATCATATAGTTGTTTCATATTTCCTTCTCTTTCAAGGCGTTATTATTGGTGACTATAAAATTGTTGACTTTTTGAATCACCAAATTGTATGTTCATGAGTTGCTGCTTTCACTTTTAACACCCAATGACAGCCCATCACAAACACTTCAAAACGTTTGACTTAAAAATACGGATGTATGAATCGCTCCACTTACATGTTAAATAAACAATTTTGTAAAAAAGAATCAATGAGACCACGACATCAACCTAGGCCCCCAAATGCCCTAGTACGGCCGAGAGTGGGGAGAGTCCTCTCTCCCTCTCGAAATACTCTCACATGGCCACGCGTATACAGCCCCTGCCAGGGAAGTCCTACTCACTGCCTTCTCGCACCACGGGTGTTGTTTACGAAAATGAGAGAACGAAAAGAGAATGTCCGGCGCTTTAACCGGATCCCAAATCAATGATGCATATGGGCTCCATTATCCTAAAGGAACAAATGGTGTATGAACCAATTGTTGGTCACCGGCTACCATGGGACTGCATCTCCTCACGATGATCAACTGCCTTGTGGGTCAGATCTTCAGATCAAAGGCTCGGGGTGTGGCCCCCTAAGAAAGCCACTTGCTTTGGTTTGGGCATCGGGGCAATATAACAGCCCTCACACATATGAAATGAGATCTATGTGGTGCATATGTATTTGGTGCCTTCTTGTACCAATATCTATGTGTTAAAATAAATAAATATATTGCGCATAGCTGTTTAGTTAGTAAAACAATATTGTTAATTATCATGAAATGAATTCTCATTCATCATCACACATTCATTCAACAAATTTCACTAATATATTGTTTTCCGACGATCATACTTTAGAATAAACTCACCTTGATGAAATACATTACTGTAATCAAATTGTAAGTATGAAATAATTGTATATATCCTCCTCTGACTCCATTGGAAATTTAATCAGAAGGAATTCATATAGAAAGAGGATAATTGTTACTGACATTAGCCCTATCATTATTTACATATTTATTTTGATTGTCTTCTTACTTGAATCGATTTTTCGATCTTACTCTATTGTATAAGGTTTTTCCAGTTGGTCAATAAATCAATTGTTTTATGACTGTGTTTGTTGATTAGTGATAACCACCACAAAAAAATTCTGTAATATCGGTGTAGTCTTTGTTGAATGACTTCAACGTTGTCTTGGTCGAACGTGTATCCAAAATTATTCACGCATATTTTTGATATAAGTGATGATATATCGTTACGCTTGACAGCTTACTGGTGTTCATATACATGAAAGTGAAGTGGGACGCAACTCTATCCAGTTTTATGGTCTTTGTTGTTAAAGCAGTTTACTTTTTCAGCCACAATGTTTCGGGTCCAAACCCTGCTCTACTTACTTCCTGTCCGGGAAGCGAAACAGTTTGAATAGCCTCGAAGCGAATTATGTAAATTTTTGTTTAGTAATCATCCAAACAAATAGATTTTTTTATGATTATTTTAAATTTGTTGTAAATATCTAGACCATATCTCCCCGTTCACCTTGGTTATATGTTGAGAAAGATGGTACAAAACAGATAGGCGGATATTGGAAATTGCTATCAACCAATGTATCGAGTTTGGTGTATACCACTGTTCGGGGTGCAGGACATATGGTGCCACGAGATAAACCTGCTGCAACGTTTCATATGATTAATAGGCTCATTCACTTCGAACCTTTTTAATATGTAGTGGACTGTAACAGGATATTTAACCAGCTGTCTATATCCCTACTTCTAATTTTTGTTATAAAACTACTGTCTATGATCCTTACCATTGTGGTATTTGTAGTTCTCGAAATATTGAAAATTATCATTCTTTGCATTTTTATGCCCAAATCTTAAGATATTGTAGCACTTTGATTTTATCTGTCTGTTTTATATCGTCAAATTTGAGCTTGGCTACGGGACCGAATTATTAAGTTCTGTTTATCTATATTTCCCGATATGTGTGATTCTCACCTTACCATCATAACAGTAGGTCTTTGATAAACGTCGGTGCCTGTAATCGATGGTTTGCAAAACCGTCTGTATGGACGACTTTTGTGTGTTTTCCGTGTCTTATTGAGTGACATTGTAGTGTGCGAAGTGAAAACACACCCAGAACTTAATTCACATCCATTAATTTGCAGTGGGACTATGTCCGTACCACTGCTAAATATAATCGTGTTGCGTCAATAGGTATTCAGTCCAAAGCAGTTACTAGCGCTTTCATATGTGTCAGTATTCGATTGTCCTATTACTTGACTACCCGGATGTTCAGATTTTTGTCACTAACTTACCTCGTCTGTCTTTTCACTCAACCAGTCGTGAATAATCAGTTGTTTGGCTGCACTTCACTAGTTAGCAAGGAAACATAATAGAAGCATTCCACTTCACACCTCTGAAAGATGTGTGCGATGAGTCTTTAGTTGTTCATAACGTTCGTTTACTTTCCGATAGCGAGTTGTTGAAGTGTGCAACTAGAATATAGAGTAATATTCTGGTGGCACTTCCCCTGGCACAGATATTTTGGTTTTGAAGTCTTCAAGCCACAACGAGGTGACATCGAAATAGACTAGATTGTTCCGATGATAAGTTTTCATTCAACGAACACCAGAATTCTATTTCAAGGACTGGTTGCGCCTCGATGTTTTCTTCCATACCGGGAAGCATCGGTCCACAAAAAGATTGAGTTCTTATGGGTAAAGAAGAACTTGTAGTGGCCGGAAGTTTGGTAGATGTTATCAACCTAACATAGCTTGTGGTCGAGGTCAATTATCTCTGACTCTTTTAGTATAAACTTCTTTACTTAAGAGACTGATTTATGCCGTTTGACCAAAAACAATTTGGGAAATACCATGACCTCAGCAGTGCTGATCTGAATTAGACATATACTTAAGGACCTTTGTTCCAATTTCTGGACAGGTCAGGCATTTCACTTCTTTTCGTTATTCTGAATACCTGCCATTTTGAGCGATTTTAGAGATTTGGGACAAGCGTTTGGCAGTCTGAAGCAAAATCAAAATCCCGTATATCGTATTGTACTCACTCAATGACCAGTCTAAATGCAAATCTAGGGATATTTGTCTGAAGGATTTATCTCAATGAAGGTAAATACTTTTAGAGGCACTGATCGATGTAAACTAAAATTTTGTACATCAGCTGTCAGATTCATATTTGTGTAGTAAGGACAGAAGGCCTACGGCCTATGTTATTCCTGTTCTAGTATGCTTCTGTGAGTGTCCAGACTTCTCTTGAAAGAGTCAATTGAAGGTGCGGACACCACTGCTTCGGGCAGCAGGTTCCTGGCATTGATGACTCGGCGTGAAAATCTGTATGCCATGGGTATTTTGTTCGTTCTTGGCTTTTCTACTCGCCTGCTATGTCCTCTGAGATGTCCCGATCTAGTGGGAAGAAAAAGAGAGAATAAGTAAGGTCCAAAATCATTTCTCAGTATCTGTACATCAAAACTAGATCTCTCCTTAATCTGCGATAGAACAGGGTGAAGAGGTCTAGCTTTTCAAGCCACTGTTTGTATGGTAAACCCCGGAGTTCTGGAATTGCACGGGTAGCTGCCCTCTGTACTTTTTCTAGGATATCCGAGTCACCTTTTAAACATGGGCCTGCAGCCTGAACGCAATTCCCAAGCTTAGTTCTCACTAAGGACGTGTATACTTTGGTGAACAGGTTAGTATCTAGCTTAGTGAATGTCCGTTTTAAAACCCAGAGGGTTCGAAACCCCTTAGCTGCTACCTCCCAGCAATGGGTCATCGTCTTAAGATCCTGACTTACTATCACCCCAGATCTTTATGAGACCGAACCACTGGTAATTGCACTTCCCCTATGCTGTATCTATTAACTTTTGTATCCCTCAAATTGCGTGTAGACACACTTTGCCGCGTTGATAGGCATCAGCCACCCTTTAGACCAGTTAATTATATTATTTAGGTCTGCCTGAAGAGCATGTGAGTCTGTGTCTCCAGTTATTATTCTCCAGATTTTTACATCGTCAGCGTATAATAACATTGTAGACTGTACTGTACCTGGAAGATAATTTACATACATTATAAGAAGTAAAGGACCTAGGACGAATCTTGAGGTACTCCACTAAGTACTAGTCTCCAGATGGAGCACTTGGAATTTATTCTTACCTTCTGTCTACGACCTACTAGGAAATCCTTAATCCATTTAAAAAAGGTCCAGTAATACCAAGGTTTTTCAACTTCAATAGTTGTCTATTTAATGGCACCTTGTCAAAAGCCTTACTGAATTCTATGTAGACAACATACACTGAGTTTCCGTTGTCTAGCGCCTTTATCCAAAATTCCTTGCTATAAGGAGGTTCGTTGTACAAAATAGACCCTTTCTAAAACCATGTTGTTCTATGTTTATAACTCAGTGTATATTACATCAAAGAATTCATTACTGGAAGTTGGTAGGTTTGAAGCTATTACGGGTTCACTTAGTATGCGAACGAGAACAAAGACTCGGTTTCCAAAAACCATTAGGCTAGATATTCTGATGCGCCTCAGTCCCCTAACTACAGGAAGTAGTCCAAGCTTGGAATGGGGAAGTGTATTCTGAAAACAGCCAGAAGCACGAGCGACAACAACAAACACATTTCAAAACGTATATATAAACAAAAAAAACCGTCCTTGGAGAGAGATACCAAATAGCATACTAAAAGATGCAACGGACTAATAGCATTTAAGATATTTGCCATGTAGGAAATACGACATGAAGATGACAAGAGTGCTTTTGGCGCGGAAACTAAGAAAATTCAAATTTTTTAAATAAAATTCCAAATAAGCTCTTTTTTCAGGTAAGTACTGGGGATCTAAGGTCCCCAACGGGATTATGGAAACAAAGTGTTTTCCTCTCAACTCACATGGATAGATATACTGTGAATTGTATACATGGGTGCGCCACAAAATCACTTCTAGGACTCAAATTCATGCCTCACGGAGAGCGTCATAAATCAATGAAATTTTATTCATCAGAACATGAGCGTCTTGGGTGTGGACTTTTACTGGCTTATAGCATCCTAAACACGCTTGGATATCCTAACGAAAACTTGGCAGTAAAATTCAAAATTTAGAGACACAAAAGTATGGCAACTTGGATCGACGCACATATGTGCTTGGTCCTACGTTGTAACTGACTGAGAGTCACAATATGTAATAATGGACTGAAAGTACAGATTTTACACTTTGCGAGTAGTTGAATTCTGGATTTCGCTGCTTACTGAGATGGTAAAGGCGATTGTCCAGGAGTCTTTCAAAAGAAAACGATATATTCATATGGACTCAGAACTGGGTTCCATTATCACTTTCTAATACTTCTTTGTTTTAAAAAATACATAGGTAAATACTCAGAGTATTCAGTGTTTCTCTGCTGTTGGGTAAAGGATCTAATTAGGCAAATGATTCTACCACAACCACTTCTACGGTAATACAGTGAAAATTTATGCGGCGATAAAGTTAAAAACACACGGTCCGGATGGTTCTTTCAAGTTAATAACTGCTAAAGAAAGTCAGTATGAAATAGGTTAGATAGTATATCGATCAATAAAAAAACACCTTTTTATTTTTTGTTAAGAAGTGTTCGGTGAGACTATAATTTATGAACGATTTTTGAGCTCATGAGCTTGAGTGTCCACCTATTGGACATTATTACTATTAATATCTATGACCGAATGAGGGTTCTAATCTTGTGTGCCGAATCGGAATTGTTTTACTGCAAATGATTAACATTGGGAATTGGATTTCGGTTTTTCATCACGAACCTGTAGTGTCTGTCATTATGTTGAGCCCATATACCTTATTCTAACTTCCGGACAGCCCATTCTATTCATTCTATTTGAGTCACATTCTGACATTGTTAATTATTCGCTAAGCAATCTTGACTGTCTTTATATGAGCTCATAGGCATGTGTACACTTCTTACCCCATTACTCATTACATGTCTGCAATTTATTTTTGTGTGCTTATAATTATTGATTAACGCTTGGTTAAATGGGAGTTGGCTTACCGGCCATTTCCACCGCGCGTCATTTTAGCTTCGCTTTCTCATCTTCGCATCGTTCTCTCGTTCGTTTGTCCGATCAACGATTATACAAAATATATGTATTCAAAAGCCCATTCTCGTTGTTTGACTTATTTAATTCCGCTATTAACTAACGCGATTTAAGTCAATGATTATATACCAGGATAGGCGATAAGCAATTATTCATACGATCTATTTGGAGTCAGATCTCGGGCCACTAAAGTGGAGAGCCCTTCGACAACATCGCCCGATCTAAATGATGATAAAATAAAGGGCCCCCACAAAAAGTGGTTAGCCCGCCACCGCCGACGAACTCAACAGGCGCCACAAAAGTTTTGACCCGCCCACGACGAACGTAACGCAGCAAGCTACGTCGATGAAGAGACTTCTGCACCTGGTACATTCGACGAACAAACTCAACGGACCCAGCTCAATCAGACGCACTCAGCAAAGCCCGTACAACACGACGTGGACGTGCACACATCGCATTATCTTATCGACACTTTGTCCTCATATCAACTATTCTCACTGATCCATTTGTCGGAATGTTCCATCATAATTCAAATTACTCATAAATTGGTCGTGTGTGACCGACCTCAAGCAGATGTCCCTTAGGCACTGCGGTCAAGCTCTCTGGTCACTAAGACCACCTCTGATCCAATTTCTTTTTCAGGTACCTCCAGAAGTACCCTTCCACGGTGTGGGCGACCGGGAAGTAATAACCGTCCTCATACTTCCAACAGCACTCAAGACCACTGTATTCATAATCAACCTCCCTCTTCAATTCCTATTATTCCTCCTACATAGACTTTCTACACTAAACGTCCTCTTTCGGCTTCCTCCTCAAGTGCCAACACAGCCAACGATTCTAGTGCTCAAAACACTGTCCCAGGTCTACCGAAACCTCGCTCCAAACAACACATTGGAGCCTTTAACGTACGCACACTATGCCAAATCGGTCAGCAGGCTTCC